AGCAGAAGATGGTCTATTCTCTAATTATGAACAGCCTGGGCAGGAATCTGAGAAGGAGACTATTGAAACAAGCATGACAATCAAGAAGACAGTTAATAATCTGTTTCCTGTTTCAGGTGTGTTAAAGCTTCTGTGCTTTTCTTTCTTAGGATCATTGAAAGCATTGCTTAGCCCCGATTTGCATTTTCTTAAATATCTATCGATCTACGATCTGGAGCTCAAGATTCATTTTTATATATTCTTTTATTGGTCTTCAATCTAGCATTTGGGTTTATATAAACAGCTCAAAATGTGGCATAAATGTTCTTCATTGCACTACTAAGTTAGGACTCTTTTTATTGCTATTGGTATTAGGTCAAACAACTTGGTTTATCACATGTATTAACATTGAACAGCAAGATAAAATGTATGCTAACCATTCATTTAAATAAACATAAATTCACCTCCTAGCTTTGATTTAAGATATGACTGGGCATACTACTTCATAATTAATCACTACTAAGAAAGAGTATATAAATGTTCCTTCTATTCTTCTGCTTCTGTGCTGCAGATAAAGTGAAAGAAAAACATCCAACCTTGAGTGAGTGGACAAGGTCTATGACTCAGAAAAGATTGGAGCTTAGCCGGTCAACACTAGATGGATGTGAAGATGGAAGGCTAGACCCATTGATCAAGGTACTAAAAAGGAATGGTAACCCGCCAAATGAGCAAATTCAAGCTCAAAACACAAACTGTCAACTGGATAGGGACCAAAGGAAGGAGCACTCTGAAAGCCTGGTTGCTGCTATCAACAAGCTCACTGATGCTCTGGTAAGAATTGCTGATAGGTTATAAGAAAGAAAATATATAATAACTCAGCAACTTTTAGCTTCCTGCAATATGACAAAGTATGCAAGAAATAGATTTCCAGGTGTCTTTAATTTTCTTACCACATTAGTGGTCTAGAGGACAATCCTCTTTTCTTATAGGATTTACAATTATAATAAGGAAAACAGAAGAAAAAATATAGAGTTTATTATTATTATTATTATTATTTTGATATTCTACATGTCACCCTCTGATATTCAGAGATTTTGATGTTCTCTAATGAGTGTTTCTAAGTTTAATATTGAACTAGCTTGGGGAGTTTGAACCTAGTTAGGCAGTTTTGATCAGTGAATTATAATACCTATTCCCAACCTCTTGGAGTCTAGCTGACCAAAATGAAGGAAAGCTGAAGAAAAGGGTACCACTTCATTCCCTGAATTATGCACATGGCTTGAAGAGGGAAAAAAAGGTGTATTGCACGCTTCTGAGATATATGAATTAGTGAACATGTCAATAACAACCAACAAAATGTTAATTAAGTGGCATTTGAAGTTAGCTACACAGATGAGACATCTAAAATACAGTATAGGTATCAAGGCAATTTTAGTGGAAAAATAATGGCTTTACAAAGAAACTTGAGAGATTTGCTAACATTTCTGGCAACAGAACACGTGAAAGAAAACAAAGTTAAAATCTAACCTCTTCCTCTAAGCTGGAACAGCTTCAACAAGCTTAGTGAAGTAGAACTGCGTAGTGATTAAACCTCTCTTTCTTATTTTCCACCCAACCTTATTCAGTGCCCTCTCTACATCTGCTTCTGCATGAAGATAAGCTCTCATTGCCTTTGATGGCCCTGGGAACAACTCTCCTACCCTCTTAAGAAGATCATAATATAATGTCTTCCGTGCAAAGCCCAAAATTAATCTCTTTTCAGCTAATGAAGCAAGGTGTGCAATCATGCCATCAACTTTACTTTGAGGGTAATGTATAAGAACATCTAGACAAACCACAGTGTCATATCTCCCATCTAAACTCTCTAAATCCCTCACTTCATATTTTGGCATCACAGGCTCTGCATCACCATTTCCTACTGATAACTGCTCTTTGGCCTACATCAAATTAACATATTACTCAGCCTCACAATCTATCTATTGCAGAGAAATTTACAATCACACATTCTATCAAAAAGTTACAAACTTGACGAAGAACCCAATAATCATTCAATTGCACAACACATTCCACTTTGTAAATCCAATTAACCAAGCCCAGGAGCTCTTAATTTTTCCAAAGACAGTTAAAATAGTTAAAAATCAAAAACAACAATAGTAAAGAGTTGAGTACTAACACTCAACTGACCTGCTTTTCGGCCTCAGCCATCATGGCAGCCGAAATATCGCTGGCGGACACAATTGCCCCCTCCTTCGCCAGCGGAATTGCGAGGCACCCAGTCCCACATCCAGCATCACACACAGTCACCCCCTTCACTGACCCCTCATCGGTCAACATTTTCATCACATTCTCCACCGTCTTCGAGTGCCCAAGCCTAATATCAAGCTGCACCTTATTCACGTCATCGGTCTCTCAATAAATCTTCTTCCACCTCTGAAACCGCGAATTCTTAAAGTACTCCCTTACTGCTTCCTTGTCCCCACCGCCCACTTCTTCCGCCTGCAACCGGCGCCGCCGCTCGGGTTCGGCGAGGGAGAGGACAGCAGTGAGTGTAGCAACAGACCCACCTCCAATAACGGCAACGGTGGTTCCGTCAACTGCCGGAAGGTCTGTCACCGAGCCAGAAACGGAGAGAGGGGGAATGGCAGTCAGGGGTCGGAAAGATGATGTGTTGAGTTTGTGGGTGGGTTTAGGAGAGAGAGGGGAGAATCTGGGGTTGGCTTGGAAGGCAGTGTGAGAGGATAAAGACGGCGAGTACGCCATTTGTTTCTCACTCCGGCTGGCCAGGAGAGGTGGCGGGTTTGTGTCTAGCGGGAGGGAGTTGGTTTGTTCTACAACGGATAAGATAGACTGATGGAATCCATCACTCTTGATTTGTGTGTAGGGTCCATCCTCTTTTTTGGCGCAACGATTAAATTAAAACAGTTGACGATTAAAACATATTAAGATTTATTTAATACAATATTTATAATTAACAAGTGGTTGACTTGCACTACGTGCAGTTTTTCAATCATTCTCTTGGGCTGTTATCACTATCATTTGTGTTATATTTATACTTTAAAACCTCTTTAATATATTTAGTTATAAAAGGTTAATATCACTTATATTCAAAGTTTATATTACTTTTTTTGTCATATTTTACCATAAAAAAATAATTCTTATTTGTATTTTGATTTTATGTATTCATAGGGTTTTTACTTTAAAATATAAAGTATTATATTAGCGATGTGTTATTATTCTCTTTCTTTTTATGATACATATAATTTCATTTTTATAGGTTGGACAATAAAGAGACAAACATTTTGTTAACCATATTTTAAGAACAAACTTTTCTTAATTATTTTAATGACATTTATATAATAAGTATATTAACATTTAAAAGAATTGTCTTTGATTTTGACTCCCGAGAATATAGGAAAATCTATAGTACTTTCCCGTAAAATTTTCCTTTTAATTTTTAACACAAAGCAGACAGTGCATTAGGTTTATTTTTAGTCCAACAAAGATGCTAAGAACTTTCTACATTCAAAAACCAAAAATAAAAAATAAAAAACAAAGAAGTTGCCCTTGATCCAACCAAAGGAGAGTAGCATGTGAGCATGCGGTAGTTGCCCTTGTTTGGAATTCGAAGTTTCCTGCGACAGAAAGTGTTGTTTGCAAAAAGTAAGCATGTATGCATCATCATCAGTTGTGACATTATCATGTGTAAACTATTTTCTTTTAGGTAATTAAAATGGTTCTATAGTGAGAGTTAAAATGTAAAAATAGTATTAAAAAAAGTATTGATGCCTATGTGTATGACTCTAAGTAGCAACACATTTTTATGCAAGTAATGGGAAAACTCTTATAATTATTGTAGTTAAAACAAAATGAACATAAAACTATAGAAGCATGTACT